TATATATATATATATATATATATATATATAACCTTGAGTTCGCGCGCGTACACGTGGTGCTTGCCGGGAACGTGGTGTTCGTTTCTTCAATACTTTGTGCACACCCGTTCCTTTTTTTTTTTTTCGTGTGCCGGCTTCTCGTCGCCACTCTTCTCCGCCTATTTCTCGGTCCGACCTTTTTTTACGTTTTCTTTTTCGTAATCTCCGGACGCACGCCATCGTGGCGCGCTAAATGATGACGCTGCGTGCGCACCGAACGAAGAACGGCGACCGGGTGACTTTCAATCATCGGAGGGTGGTTCATACCTGCAAGGAGTGACGCGTTCAAGAGCAAAAAGAATAAGAGGAGAGATTCAGGAGAGGAGATGACACCATCCTCAACCTCTCATCCTATTGCTTACTCGCGTCACACCTTTCCCGTCCGAATTATTAGTTCCCGTGGCGTGAAGTATGCGCGCGTATCCTCCTACCTTTCGGTTAGCAATCACTGAAATGTGGGCGAGGCCAGTCCCCCCCCCTCTCTCTCTCTCTCTCTCTCTCTCTATCTATCTATCTATCTATCTAACTATCTATCTACCTCTATCTCTCTCCTTTTCTGCCCTTCACTCGCTCCCGGCCTCATTCCCACCCCTTTTCGGGAGCATATCTTGGGTACTGCTGATGCTACATCCGAGAGTGACAGAGCGTGGAAGGAGGAGAAAAAATCGGGAGGGCACCACTCATACGCCCGGCGTTATTGAAAAGGGTCGTAGAAAATACCGATGCTATCAAATTCCGGCCCTCCGAAGGAGTGGGACGTGTAGCGGCTACATAGAGAGAGAATAAGTGATTTATTTGCGACCGAAGAAGGAATGTCGGTGAGTGGGTTCCTTAGTCCGGGATTCCATTGGCCCGGGCCGCTGTCCTCGCTCGTCTCACAAGGGCCTCTTGGGTTCGGATCCGTGCTGGACAAAACTTCCTCCCACCCTACAGTGTTCTGCTGTGCTCTGGGTTGTAGAGGGGAATTGTGTGGGCATTTCCGTACCATGTAGCACAGGGTGGCTGTTTTAGTGGCGCAGAACCTGCACTGTGGTGCGTATGTGTCAGGATCTATCTTGGAGATTATGTATGGATTGGGGTAAGACAAGGTCTGCAGGCGACGCCACGCTATCTGAGATTCTACATAGTTGTTATAAACGTACGGTGGAGCACTTCCTTTATCGCAAAGGTCTCTAACCCAAAGCAACTGCCCGCAGACACGAAACCCTCCCGATGAGCCCAGATGGTTATTGAAGAGGGGGGCGGGGGAGTTCAATGTTGAACAAATTGTTAGTTAACCTTGCCGTTTCAAAGAAAGCTTTTCGCGCATCTCATATATAGATAACTTCTGAAGGTGATTGGACATCAAGTTAGGAGAAAAATAACGATGCCACTTTCCGAATTCAGTGCCATCTGGAAATTCTGCTCCATGGTTATGCTTTAACACATTGTGACCTAAAGGGGTTTCTCACGAAGGAGCGTTTGAGACTATTCACGTCTACGTAGCTATACTGACAAAGAAAAAGAAAGGAATGAGATGAAGACAGTCACGTGTGCAAAATGCCGGTCGTGAAAGGTCCGCGGCAGCATTCTTTAGACATTTGCTTCATCGCATAAAGTCATGCGTGATGACTTTATGTGATGACAAGATTGCGTTCGAGAATCGCTTGCCACTACCACAGGCACTATAGAAGCACTCTCCAGGCAACAGTCGCATCGTTTCCTCCTCGCTCCCGTATTTTCTATGAGCACACTAGAGGGAACTCTGGCACTAGTGTCTATAGGAACTGCGATACATGGCGCCTCGGCGAGCACGGGTATGGTGCCCCGCCGCGGTGGTCTAGTGGCTAAGGTACTCGGCTGCTGACCCGCAGGGCGCGGGTTCGAATCCCGGCTGCGGCGGCTGCATTTTCGATGGAAGCGTGAATGCTGTAGGCCCGTGTGCTCAGATTTGGGTGCACGTTAAAGAACCCCAGGTGGTCTAAATTTCCGGAGCCCTGCACTACGGCGTCTCTCATAATCATATAGTGGTTTTGGGACGTTAAACCCCACATATCAATCAATCATCAAGCATGGGTATGATAGGTAGTTGGATTTGTCTAATCATCGTACTTTCTGTTTCCGTTTGACTTCGCGTGGCTTGGAGCCGCTTTGTCACGAGACGACAATCAGCAAAGGTTTACCAGTTATGTTTCACCACCTTAATATTTTACGCTGGTCATTTCTAATCGGGTCACGAAGTTCAAAACGGTGCCTTCTTTCATTCGAAACAAAACCAAACAACAATAAACAAAGCCGCAAGTGCGTTAGAAGCCCGCAAGCATGAACACTAGGCAAATCTACGTACTGCGCATCATTCCCTTGGTCGCTGAACGATCCCAGCGCCAGAGTCCCCTCTAGTTAACTTTGCTCGCTCCTCCCCATTGCTTTCACTCATGACAGCGTCGGCGGAGTTCGAAGTATATACACCTTGCTAGAATCTCGTCGTCCGAGTAAGGCAACAAAACAGAATAAATGATGAAAGAGACAAGCTAGCCAACGCAAGGAGGTTCACCATACACTCGTGTGGTTTTCTACCCTGCACGGGTGATAAGAAATTGATTGCCGCAAAATGGAAAATTAAAAGCATATTTAGGTAGAGCGTGAGAATGGTGAAGACAGAATAGGACAGAAGGGTCACGGATGAGCGCTGAACTCATCAACGTAAAACAGAAAAAAAAGTATGAACATTGCGTTGTTAAAAATGAATTTTTAAAAAAGCAACAATGCGCGTACCACCTATCGGTACTCGTGCTGAGAAGATAGATAGGCGAACTCCTTGTCCGTAAGAAACAACGATGCCTCACTTCCGCATAAATCTCTCACTCGGTTTATGTGGAATGCGCACCTCTGTCAATTATCTAGTCGTCTAGGAACTGTGTTTCTAGACCGTATTTATGCATCGACAAAAACAAAATAGTAGGATAGATGGAATCTCGTGCACACTTGCGGCAGCAGAAGTGTACAGGCGCGCCTGCCAGCTCAGCTGGTCTCACACCTCCACGTAGTGCAATGGTTGCGAGTTTTTTGTATTTTACACTGTTGTAATAGAACGAGAGACTCTCTGACTCTTGCGCGCACATTGTTACATGACTTTCAACGTGGCCATATGGTGGGGTCATGATCTTTAACGTAGGACTACGAGCTCCAATCTGATCATCATTATCATGTCATATTTGTTTCCTCTCACAACTGCAGTATACGGCGCCCGGGCTTGTAGCACTTGGACATTACACAGAAAGTCGAGGAGACCCAAACAAATTGTTCTAACTATCTTGCAATGTTAATATGATTGCGCAATAAACGAAAACGACCCGACACCTAGCGCTCTACGATGAATACGTAAGCAAATGATCTTTAACATACAGCGAGAAATCCAGCCAACTGCATGCCATCGCAGAGAGAAGTTGTCACCCCTTTTGCTGAACATTACATTTTCCTCCCAATTTCGGGCGAAATTTCCACTAATCATTTACCCTTAGCTGGCTCATGACAAGTGTCTCTGCTCGTGCGGGCACCGACGAAACGACCTCAAGTGTCGTCGCCGTCATGTCGTGACTATCACGTAGCGTCTTGGATGCACCACGGCTGCTCAACAATGAGGGCAACGTGAAAGCGAGAATGACCCCCGTAGACGAGCGCACGATTTTCTGCGTCGAGAAAGGAGAAGCGAGTGACGCAACGTGGCCACTCCCTCTCACACTCATATACCTCCCATAAATTCCTGTTGTGCAAACGTGGGTGTAATAGCCCAGTGCAATCAAGAAAAAAGCGAGTGTTTAGTTCCGTCGTAATGATAATGACCATCAGGTCCGAAGGCAGATATCCTCCTCCCTCTCACGTGGAAAGTTCTTTCCCCTTGGTCACGAGCCCCGCATTAGCGAACGCCAACGACAAGGGTTCTTTGATGAATAAACTTTGATAAATTAAGAGCCTGCAGAAACTGGCTTTCTTGCACTAAGCATCTTATTTCGGCGAAGCCAACTTTACAAACCTGCGTAGTCTTCAGTTATTAGTTTCAGAGCCGCTTTGCAAATAGTCGTCGGAGAATTTAAAAGGAAAGTAATAAAAGTGTGTGTGTGTGTGTGTGTGTGTGTGTGTGTGTGTGTGTGTGTGTGTGTGTGTGTGTGTGTGTGTGTGTGTGTGTGTGTGTGTGTGTGTGTGTGTGTGTGTGTGTCGATTAAAATTTAGTACAGTATTATAACTGCAATTACCGCGATGATCCGAGATACCGCGCTCGATCAAGTGTAATCACTGGTCTCAATACAGCACAAGGTAAAAAACTATACCATGTCAGAAAACAAGAATTATTCGTCCCATCGTTTACGACTGCGCTAAAATACCGCAGCACAAACTTCGTCATGTACACGCGCCCTAGATAGGCATATACTGCGCATACCTGATTTTGTGTATTCCCTTTATAGGCAGCGCTGCATCTGATAATAAACGCCTATTGAGACACCGCCCACTCTCGTCCACAATCATGGAGAACCGACTTCAGTCAGATAAATGTAAAGTGAAGCAACGAAATTGCCCATCCAACCACATATGCGTAACATCACATGGGTGACGCCACGAAGGGAACGTGTTACAGGGCGGGACACTTTTAGGGGGAAACATCGCGTTAGTATTCAAGAGTTGATAGCAGCTGGTGAACACCATGGAATTCTGATACCTTTTTTTATGAGCATGATTGTTCGTCATTGTATGAGATACATTTCTGCACTGATGAATAAGAAATGTTGTGCTTGCACCGGCTCGGAAGTACACTAATGAAACGCTTCAAAACAGGGCAGTCGACCTTGTCTAAATTATGCTGTATGTGTCTTAAACAGATAGACAGGCTTGTGCAAGTACAGTTAGAACGTTACAAACACGTGTGTGCACATTAACATAGAATGACCCCTCGGGAGGGCACAATCTGACCACGTGTTTGTACGCAGGAACCCCAGCCTGTCCGAGGAGGGCCACTGGGAGCGCATCTATTGGCCCGTGCACACAGCGCACGGCAAGGAGTACTTGACGCTGGCCGTCAACTCCAGCCTGGTGGGATACGGCCACCGGGCAAAGTATTGTGCCTTCTGGCAACAGTTTCTACCTCGCCTCGTCAATCTCTCCGGTGGGTATCTCTACGCGCTGATCCTTTTCATGAGTCGGCATTTGTGTATTGCCATGCTAAACTTGCCTGTACAAGCATCATCGCCGCCGCCCCCACTACCACCACCACCACCACCACCACCTTCAGAAATATTAATGTTTTTTTTAGCAGTAACAGTAACGCCACGCAGTAAGCACGCCTATACCGTACTGGCTTCGTTCGCTCGTAGCTTTCTCAGCCTGCAAGGCCTTCTTAACAACCTTCATTCTCTATAATCACGTTGCGGTAACCACTGTGCAGCTCTCTTGGTGAAAAGTTCTTCAGAAAACTGCGCGTCATCAACGATGGTTCGCTATTTTTGTACTTGCCGTATACGATAAACCGGCTCTGCTAAAGGACATTACTAGAGTTTTTTATCTTCTCCCATATTCCGGTATAGGAAAATGGTGTTTACGGAATACCGCGTTGCCTTACGATGGTACCAACATTAAGTGGGGTTTTGTGCAACCAAGCTATACTCATGCGTGTTTTTTTTTCTAGTGTCCTTGAGGAAAAACGAGTTTTAGAAAACATTTCATGTTGTATTAGGCTACTGGCGAGAATCGACGACATTAGAGAAGTAGAATGTACCAGGTTTTTACAGTAACAATTTTATGCTTGTCTGGTTGATCTTGGCCATGGTACCGCTTACTCGGTTTCTCACGCTTACGTGTACAGTATGCGGTGTAACACTGGTGCTAGCAACTTTTTTGACAAACTATAAGACTCTCCGTTATGGAGGCGATCAGCCGAAGGAATACGGCTTTTGCGAGTGAACAGCTTTTAAGACACTGTTCACAGCGATTCACGGTTGTCTACCCGGAAAAGCGTTCCTTCTCTCTCCTTCCGAGCAGTCGCCCCTAACTATATCTGCGTAAAACTCGTGCTTGACCCAGTGTGCTTGACATGCTTGAAGTCAAAGGGTTGCGCAAAAACGAGACACGTTCACAGGTGAGGACTCAGGGACAAGCGCAAACCGGCCTGTCCGAGGACGGCCTCCCGAGGTTGCGCGACCAGTCTCGGGAGGCCCTCCTCCCGAGGTTGGTTCGCACTTGTCCCTGTGCTCGCGCAACAGGGGCAAGCGCAACCTTGCGCTTGTCTCTCTGACCTTGCTTGTGAGTGTGTTGTTTACACGTAGCCTTTCTATTTCAGATATTTCCTGCATGCTTCTTTTTTCCCATCACGCTCTGCTTCGGAATTTCTGGGCTTTGTGGAATGCCACAATATACAAAAAAGTGGCGGCATTTTGTACCTACCATAGAGGCAGAGATCGTAGCAGCCGACCGGTGCAATAAAGAGCTGACAACGCGGAGAATTTGATGACGTGGCGGAATTTCACTCTGTTTCGAAACAGTGCAACCCAGCTGCGTCATTGTGATGTAAACAAAGAAAGAAAGTGCACCGCCATGTCCTCCGCTGCACAGGAAGGAAGGAAGTTGCACTTCCGCTTAGTGGTGCCCATGATACTCGTCAGTTCACCTCTTACCACGGCGGCGTATGGCATTGACGTCCTGAGCAACGTAGCTCGCGGTGTCTTGAGGCACTCGAGCTAGCCCCCTCGTGGGGAGCCTGCGGTCTTAGCGAAGAGCCGAGCGGATCTTCAAAGGAAATAACGGATCCGCCCAGTCTCCTCTGACTTCTTTTTTCTCCCTGTTTAGTTCAGTGACTCCGTTGGCTGACTCTGTCCCTCCTTCTTCTCAGTTTTCTTTAAGCCATACCACGTTTGAAGCCAGACTTCCTGGCCTCGCTTTGTATGCCTTTGTTCTTCGCCGGTTCGCAGTGACCCTTTCTGTCTGAACTCAGAAAAAATATCATTTTTTTATCTGGAATCAGTTTTCTTTGTGCTAATTGTCATAACATTGCAGCAACGTTCGCGACTGTCTCATTCTACCTTTATTGTTATGCGCCATTTCAGTTTCGCGGTTGCCGTCATACCAGGACTTCTCTTTAACTTTATCTTGTCGTTTTCTTTGTGTAATTTCCTCTAGCAGCAGCTGCCTTACTTTTTACGTCGTTTCCTTCTTTCGTCCGGGTCACATAACAGGGATGGCGGCCATTCTGGCTCTTCCGTGTATTTACAGTTTTCGCTTCCCAACAATGACTGCTCATTAGGTCTACCGGAAGCTCGACCGCGTTTCGCTTCCTTCCTTTGGAGACCATTCCATTGGCCTGGGGATACTTATTGGACGTTATGATACGCTGACTGACTATTTTTTTTATTTGTGAACAAGAACGCCCTTTATCTCTTTTCCTGTCTTCTTCTCTCTCGATCCGTGCCTGTCATTTTTGTTTTCTCTCAAAACTTCAATTCTATCGCACAATGTCTCAATTGTGAAGAGGACCGTGTAACGCGGGTGCGACATGTCTGGTCGAAGTCGGTGGTAGCGTGGGCAAGGTTTCACGTTCAAGACGATGGTTGTATTGTCCTGCCACGCAGCTATGGCCACCACCCATAACACAGCCCAGTGAAGGACACACTTGCCTGGTAGCTATGGGGAAAAACAGCCATCAATATTCAACTGTGCCCTAGTCCTCAGTCCACGCTATAGGAATGATCGTGGCATACCAACTAGCCCAAGCCGCCGCACTGCCAACCCTACGTCAAGGGAGGAGGAAGGAATGTAAAATACTAGAGAAACGAAAGAGAGGACAACAGATGCGCGTGAACACACAGCAGCGTTTAACACGTGTACCACAGAGGCTCACCCACTAGGCACTGCTACAAAGTGCGGTTCTGCTGGGGGGATATCTAATCCGTGATTACTATCCATTAGGAGAGCCGAAAATACACGGAGGCGATAAAAGCGACGGTGGATGTCGCGTGGCTCTTATTACCACCGCTGTGCGCTCACACAGCTAGGTCCGGCGCACTGCTTCACTGATGATCTCCGCAGCGAAGACCTGCGTCTGATCGCTGTGAGTGTTGAAGTCACTGATAAGCACGATGTTCACACACCTTCACAGCGTGCCTACGCCATCAGCTCGAAGCGCACAGCACATGGTGTGGGAAGACTTCACGATGTACGACGTGTGCGATGTGCGTGATGTGCAAGACTTCGCGATGTGTGAAATCTTGCAACCACCATTGCTGCACCGTACCACGATAACAGTTGCGGACGATTCCGGCCGCAAATTGCTCACGCTGCGTAATTAATCAACAAAGTCTGGTTGTGGAAGACAGTTAGTTCCTTTGTGGGTAAGGAGCACGTCTACAGAATGGGAAAATTACGAAGGGAAGATTACACCACCACCATTTGCGATAAGCACTTGACACGAGAACGGTAGCCGATTCCGATAACGATCACATTACGGACCAATCCTAGTTCATACCAACTGCCAACGCTTTAGTGTCAAATCCACGTTATGATTATGAGTGGTGTCGTAGGAGAGGCCTCCGGAAATTTTTTCCACCTGGAATTTCATTAACGCACACCTAAATCAAAGTGCACGGGCCCCTTGCATTTTCGCTTCCTTCGACAACGCGGCTGGAATCAAACGCGCTACCTTCGAGTCGGCAGCCGCTCACCGTATACAACCCCTGTACTGCACCGCCGGTAAGGATCAATCCTACTCAGCTGCGCCGCAGCTGTCGAGGCCAAACGCGATTACATAAGACAGCGGTTTCACGTGCTCTTCGAGCGGCACGCACAGCACGAAGCAAAAGCACAAGGTGTTCGAAGAGTGCCGCGAATACCTGTCGGAGAGCGTAGAATTCGTGCAGAGAGAAAAATAGAAATACATAGTTCCTTTCTTTTGCGTAGGATGGCTTTTCGCCAAACGCCCACCACTCTTCTTGGCCACCCCCGCGTTCCCTTTCGGCAGGAATCAACGGCGCGGCAACGAAAGCCCTCACACCCTCCGTCAAGTTCCCGCCGTTCCTGTCATCAGGACCATCGCCGCTGCTCGAAATATTACGACCCGGCGACTCGTTAACGGTGTTCACTCCGTTTGGTCGCCCGGGCTTTGCCTCTCTCATCCTCGCAGTCCAGCCCTCCCACGAGCCATCACGCGAGATTGATGACGGCGTCATGTGTCGGCCGTCGGTGATATCCTGACGGCGGCGGCAGAAAGCAGCCATGCGTGTCCGCCGATGAACCCCGCCTGAGTATACTATACCAATCGCCCACACATTTTTCTCATAGCTCTGTCGTCGTTCTCAAGAAAAAAAGAATTATCAGCGGCGTACGTATATCTTCGTGGGCGTAGGCTACCTTACACCACCACCTAAAGAGCGGTGAAGCTGGCTTCGCAAAACTTTTTTACAACGCAAGAAAAGGCAAAACCTGTCAAAATGATAACAAAGTTAAACGAGGCGAAGAGAGCATTTTTTTTTTCTTAAGAAACCACGGTCGTTTGCTCACCCAGTGTGAGAGACGAAGGGTTGTTAGCGTGGGAGACGCTGCGCTTGAGTGTGTTCGTGTGGGAGACGTTAAGCTCGTAAGAGCGTATGATCCAACGGGGCGAACTTTCTCGAAGCACATCGGGGAAAGGAACGCCTTAGTCAGCCTGCTCTATATGGGGGCCATGGTTCGGCCGGCGTACTTTCATTTTCTTTCTTGTCTTCTGAACTTCTACGCCTCTCTCCGCTGGATATCTCTCGCTTGTCTTCCCTACCTTCCTCACTCTCCCTCACTCCACTTCTTCCATTCATAACTCTCCCTCACATAACAGCTGCCGTGCCTCCATCGAAACCACACCCTGTCATCGTCAATCTGCTCATCATCGTCGGCACTGACCCCGACGCCTCTCCCTTTATGTACGTGAAGTGTTCGTGTTGTTTTCTCGTTTTGTAGCGACTTTTCTTCTTTTCTTTCATTCTCTTGTTTCCTCAGCAGCCAGGGTAGAAGTTGCGTGACCTGCAGTTTTTTTTTCTTTCTTTCGCACCGATGACTTTTGAAGAAAAAGTATTGACTTCGGGATGATTGATGAAGCCGATTGTCAAAGAGCGGGCAGTCAGGACGTATAGGGAAAAGTGGGACGTC